ATACTTTGCTCTAACCCTATAGCCACACCTGGTAGGATAAAATACTGTACAACTGTTAAGTGGTGCTATTGTCCTGTAAAGCAGAAGTTAAAAATAGAAAACACCCCACTACCAGAGCTGGAAATCTGCAGGTCTTACACAGCCTCACAGAACCTTTCTGGTGACCTGAAGAGAATTACCTAAACCTCATGGCTGAGTTCCCATTGGGTTATTATATTCTGCCAACTCAAGTGCCTTCTGCAACTAACAGCAGATACATGTTTTTCTTGGCAGTGAAACACTGGGCAGAAGGATCTGCACTGTACACTAGCTGCTGTATTTCAGAGGCAAATGACACAATTACAAAACATAGACACACTTTCTCTTAGGAAAGTTTTAGGATCACAGATGAAAAGGTGAGCAGATCCTACAGCAGCTGGTGTCCTTTGACTTTTCTCTTACAGATTAGTACAGAGAAGCAGCTCCCTAGAGAACACAAAGATTAAGATGACCACTATTTATGCAGACAGACACATTCACCAATTTGAGTGAAACTGACTGAATTTCACCTGTTGAGAAAAATGGGCAATTTTCCAGTTCAAGGGATGAGGGCAACCTAAGTTACACAGGAAATCTGGGTGGCAAATAGTCTGGTACTACAGTATTACACATTTAGGTGCCTGAAGGATTCAGCACAGTCAGTCCCATGCTAACAAGCTCTGCTGGACCCATACTAGCCCACACTCAATACTCTTGGTTCCATGACTGCACATAAATAGCTGTGGCATCCAGCAGGACTTACCAACTCACACTCTTGTACCATGCAACTGCACTGCCTCTGGGCTCAGGTGGTGCAAGAATCTGTACCAAGGCTAGCACACACTGCCAAGCACATTGTTGGCTACAGCCTATACAGCTCTGGTGTTTAGGCACTCCCCTGTGTTTTGTTAACTGGACAGCTGCTCATGCTAAACTGATCTGACTTCAGTCACAACAAACCTGACTGAAAAAAGTCAGATAAAGGCTTGATTGTTGATTTGCTTCTTTAACCAGCTTTAGTCTTCACAATAAAAGACATAAGTGAATAAAGACCATGATCAGCTTCTTGTGGAGATAAAGCTTCTGTGTCCCCAAAAAGTACACTGTGTTCTTACATAGTCTAGGTTCAGTTAAGACTCACTCGCTTCACTCAGCTTTTCCTGTGGTACTGAAAGAAAACTAATGCAAATAATCCAGGTGTATCCACCCATTTCTGTCAGTCTGACAACCTTCAGACTGCAGATTTCAGAGCAGACCTTCAGTTGCAAGAACTACTTTCTACAGTCCTGGCTGTAGAGCTAAGATAATAACAGCTCCAAGATAAACGTGAGATAACAAAGCCTATTTTCAAGAGGGAAGGAATCAGCAAGAAAATAAAACTCACCGTGTTTTGGGCTGAGGATAGGAAACGGATCCCCCAGCTTCCAGAAGAAATACATGAATGTCAACCACAGAACACATGCGAAAAGGAGCTTCTGTCTGTGCACTAATGGAGAGGAAAAAGGGAGTATTTAGAAGAGGTTCTTCCTTTAGAACTTTTTCTGGCCTGCAAAATTGCTACATTGGTCCAAAAGCTACTTTGAGCACAGGTGGCCAAAACAGGTGCCAACTGACAGAGTTACAGCTATCGGTGTGCATTCCTTCACTTCCCACAGATCTAGCTAGTTGATAGACCTTCATTTGTCAGTGCTCCTGCAGCAACACACTTTGGCATTGCCCCACAGACCCATGAAGAGGGATGCACTGTAAACAGGGGACCACTAAGCTGCATCTTTCTTGTGTGTCCCTGAAAGTGAAGCTTGAAAACTTCATCTTTGTGCAGAACTACACATACAATACTCTGAACCTACATGCCTGAGCTTAACACAAAAGAGCAATGGATATCAATAGATCAAGGGTTAAGTGTCCATTAGCACATGGAAAAGGCCTCATCCAGGCAGCAGAAGCAAAGAAACCAAAAGTAATTTATTGAGCTTTTCTGCCTCAAGAGTGATTTATTGAGCTTCTCTGCCTCATTTCTTTTGCCCCCTAGCAGAACACCACAGCCATTCCAAGGGTTCCAGAGTCTGGCTGCCAGCTTAAAATGGCAAAGGAACAAATTACAGCAACAATACTCTAAAATGCTTAACTTTGTTCAAACTCATGAAGAAAAGCAACAGTTGTTGGGGTCATGTAAAGCATCTCCTGAACAGTTCACGCTAAAGCGTAAAGTTCCAAAGAGAAGTTACCTAGCCAGAGCAAAGGCAGTGCAAGGAGAGAGCTGTGAGGAGAGTCACCAACACACCTCACTCTCAGGAAAGGTCTTTCTCATTTGTATATGTAGGCTCAAGTTAGCAGCTCTACTGCCACAAACCAAATACTCACATAACCTGATGTTGCTCACAACAAAGTAACCGATGTAGAAGGGCACCATGAACACCAGGATGAGCAAAATGACACACAGGTTCAGCTTCCAGTGAAAATATCGAGAGCTGAAATATAACCAAACCAATGATTAGCTATCACAATATAACAAATTTCTCAAAGAAAATTGCAAGTCAATGCAATCCTTTCAATGACATCAAGCACTGAATAATACTGGCCAAGCATACAGAACATTCTGGACTTTTTGGGGTTAATGAGGCTTGGAGAGGTTGTTTGTTTTGGTTTTGGCTGGTTTTCTTTCAAATACAGAGCTCAAAAATATATATTTCAAAATTAAGAACTAACCAGAAAAACACACTGGGCTATTTTATCAAATACCGTGTTTTCTGCAGTGACTGATGCTGGTTGCAGCATGATTCATGTGATCGACTGCTCATCTAGTTGAACAGTAAATCAAAACTAAGTATAAGCAGTAATTAGTTTTCTAATGAATGGTTGAGCCAAAAAAGGGCTAAGTCATACTGAAAAGATTAAAAATATTTAATGCTGAGAATTCTACACGTTTCACTTCAGACTGAGTTGTCTCATCTCCAAGGCTTTGCAAAGCAGGATTTTAAAAATACACATATCTATCAAAATGATCAATAGTCCTCTGACCAAAGGAGATTAGTCAAATGCAGATGAGATTCATTTTGGCTGAATTGACTTTTCACTTTGCTTGAACAAAAAAATATATGTTCTGTTCCAAATATTATCTCATATCCTCCTTATGCCTCAGGGAAGAAGAAATTATGAGGATCCTCGCCAGTTTTTCCTAAGTCAGAGGCAAACATTTTCATCTATACTGATGTCTAGCCCTTTATTGAAGCAAATAAAAGCATTCTCCTCAGTGATCTCTCTGGCTACAAGCTCTACATATAAATAACATACTGTCAGAACTAACATCTTTTATCAGTTTTGTGCGTACCTTTCAACTCCTCTGACTCTCTCTCACACTAGTATGATGAGATAGAATAAACAGAAACCCAACTAGCCTCTACATGCTACTGTTCTATCTTTTCTTTTCCTGTGGTCAAGGGACGATGTACCTTTGATTCACAAATCCTGTGCTGTTATACAAGTAACTTTCACTCCACAATTAGCTCCACATCTTACTCACTGCTCTGACCACCACAGAAGAACTAGCGCTTATAGTTTCTATTGCCCTTAACATCTGAGAAGTGCTCTTCAGCATGATCCGAAGCTTTACAATACTCCCATAAAAGCAATAATTTCTTTTAACTCTGCAAATGAAGAAAGTCAAAGAATAGAGCCTTGCCACAAGGATCTTGGCCAGACTAATAGCAATTTTGTGGAAACTAGAAACTTATGGCTTCTAGTCTCATGTTCTGTCAAACAAATAAAGGCTGCTGCACAAACACCTTCAATGAGTTGTTTACAATTTTCTGACACAACTTCTCGATCCAAGGGGAATCCATTAATTTAAGAAGTTAGACCAAAGATGCTGTAGAACACAAAGCAGGCTAGTCCCCAAGGGAAGTCCCAGACTCACCTGCTGTTCAGCACTCCCAGAATCTCAAAGATGATGAGCTCAAACATGGTACAAGAGAAGGCAAAAGTCACAGAGAAAATCACCTGGACCACATACTGTCGCACCTGCAAGGGAGAAAACAAGCCAGAGACACAGGTAACAAAAACAAATTGCAAGGCACAATGGCACACAACCGGCTGTCCTGCTTCAAGGCACCTTGAGCTTCATCTAATTAGGAAGAAACCAAAAGCCTGGTCAAAACCAGAGGCCAAACTCTTTAAGTTGCTCAGTATTACCCTGATTGCAGCTATTGGCACATTAAGCAGAGATGCTTTACACAGAAGGGATGTCAAGCATGCAATGATTGAGTCAACCTGACTAATGATCGACCCTTGCTGACAGAGCTCTGAGATATTAACCTTATCAAATCCACATCAGAAAAACTGTTAGGGTCTGAATTTGGTTTGCACTTAGGCCATCTCTGACCTAGACTACAATCTCATATCCCTGTAGGGATAAGAGAATGTGGCATTTTCATCCCATCCAATCATCACAACTAATTCAGCCACAATGAACACACCTCACTGAGTTTAAAGTTAGCCACTGAATTTGATTTTGTCTCAAAAATTTTACAACTATATCAGGCAGCAAAAGGCAAAATAGTTTCCTCAAGTCTCCTATTACCCCTGCATGTCCTCCATATTTCTCTTTATTTAACAGTAACCAATTTGGAAACTTCCACTGGCCCCAGAAGAATCTATTTCCTCAGGTAACTAGGAACCTCTCAAATAGAAGCATTAGGGGAAATTAAAAATAAAGTAACTGCAGACACAATTAAAAATAAAAGGGATTAAAGAGAGGAATAAGGCTAAATGCAGCTTTGAAAATATTTCTAGAATTGGGAGCAATTTTTAAGATAAGAGTCTTGCAACGAAAGGTTCCTTCTCACCTCATAATCCTTGAAGAGCTTACGCATGAAGAACAGCCACCCAAATCCAAAGAACAGCACCTGCAGAACAGATGAAGCAATTAACATCTGTATCCAGCAACTTGAAAAATACAAAGCCACTTCACTACTGGTTGCAGATGAAACAAATGGAAGGAAAAGAGCTTGGCCAAAGTACCCAAGATTCACGAAAGACTAAAACTTGCCACAGTACCATGGAGAGAAGGATATTTTAAATACCCAGATGTAGCAGATGCAGAAGGCTATGGCCTTATGGAAGATACAGTCCAGCCAACCCACTTCTGTATTCCTATATTCTCAGCATTCCTCAGTTCCCAGCCTGCCAGAATCCCTTGCACTGCGATTCTTGTTTCACTCTTCTAATTTGCAGAATTTACAGTTTTTTAAACGAACACAATAATTGAGGCAAAACCAAACACTTGCACGTCCACCACGCACACATTTTATGGGAATTAGTAAATTTTATTAAAGTATCTGCTGTTTCTTTAAGACTAGAAGCACATTTGATTTTCTGGAGAGGTCTTTTTAGCATATTTGGTTACACACTGACACAATGTGGGTGAAAGGAGTTACAAGCATCTCTAAAGTAGGGAAAAGGCCGTACTGAATGCCTCAAACCACAATCTGGAATTGCAGAAAGCCACATGGACAAGGTAAGTAAAGCAGGAAAAGCCAATAATACTTCGCATTTCAGTGGTCATCAGAACACTTAACAAAATTTGGTTAAGTTTCAATAAATGCCTGAAGAGATCATCTTAACATCACAGCTATTTTGCAGATGACCTAAACGAAATAAATACAAGATAAAATTGCAATTTAGAGAGTAAAAGTGGACTGTGTTGTCAGACCTTCCATGGGTATCCCCATCTATTTGTCATAAAAAGTGAATGCAATGATTTACAAGAACACAAGCAAATGGAAAATTCAGGAGATATTTGATTATTTTTTTTTTAAAAAGTAGCTTTGATCAAGGCAAAAACAAGAATCAGTCTATGTCAGACATCATGGAATCAAGTCAGTCTATCTCCTCAGGGCACATGGAGAAGGCCAGAGCATTCTGGCTCCCTGGGGAGATGGGAAACTTTCAAAGACAAAAAAAAAATTGAATCATTGTGGATGATTTCCCTTTGGATCAGGAGTAATCTGCAGTGGGAAAGGTAACAGAGTAACATGAATTACAGACAAGGAATATCTGGAATTCTGGGCAAGGAAGATCAAACAGCTGCCTTGAAAGAACTAAAATAGGAATGAGGCTAAATGAGGTCTAGTGATTGGTAACAGCTGGCAAAACTTGTTTGAGGACTTCAGACTTTAAAGGAGCTGCTAGCAGAAAGAAAAAGGAAAGAGTTCATAGGCCTCCTATCTACAGGTCATAAGTTAAAGAAGTGTGATAAGAAAATGAGATTTACATAAAAGTAATTCCTTATCTAACAGTGGGAAGGAGGAGAAAGGTAGAGACAAACTCTTCAAAAAGAAGTAAAATATGAGGAGATAAGAAAAAGAAAGTACAACAGTAACAGAAAATTATACATAAAAAATTAGATTTCCCTTGTGTTAGGGACTGTACAAAAGCAGAGAAAGACATTATATCTTAACAGTTCACACTCTCAGACACTGCAGGTGAAAGTGACACGTAAAGTCAGAAAATTCTTTGAGTATCTGACAATTGCATGCAGCAATTTAAACATCTAACTTGATACTTCTGAAGATGATGATAAGATGCAAAGCTGCCATCAGAAATTAAAGAAAACCTATTAAGTAAGTTAGATCTTAGAATTCAAAGTTAAAAAATGGCAGTTTTTGTTCTGGGTGAATTGCTAACAGTATCAAAGCTACCCTCAAGCTGCTAAGAATGGAAAAACACATTATGAGCAAAACTCAAAGCATTACGAAATAGGAGGACACTGTACTTCCAAGGAACAGCCAAAATCTATCCCAAAAACCATCAGGAAAACTACAGAGTTGTGCGTTAAAGCCTACATAAGACAACTAACTTCTGCTCAGAGGGGAAAGGTTCTCTTTCCTCAGCTCATCCCTCATCACTACAGAATAAGAACTTCACACCAGCTCAGAAGTTGATCAGAGCCCTGTGTGGCCCACTTAAACTTCATTTTACCAAACACTGGAGAAAGCACAAAGAGTATGACCGTGGAGCAAACTGCAAGCGAAGAGGAAGCAGAAGCAAAGAGCTGAACCACCTCAGTTGCCAGAGAGGTAAACAGGAAGCAAAGGCATTTAGATGTTCACCAAGGTGGGAGCAGGGTAGCAGGCAGAAGAGGAAGGTCAAAAGAAATTAAACGACAAGATAAATTCCTAGCAAAGGAGGCTAATGAGGAAGGAGGGAGTATTTCCTCCCACAAAACAATAGGACAATTTGAAGCATGTCAAGACCATATTCCACTTCATAATGACACAGGTTGGATGTCATGAAAAGGTCTAAAGGGCTCCCAGGTTCAGCTGGGGTAAAACAAAGACTAGTTGAAAGATGACTTTGATGGCACCAGAAAGAAAAAGCTGAAGGAGTGCTGAATCCACAGATGGATTAGGGGAGAAGGGGTCACTTGAGGTAAAAGAGCAGTGTCTTCTTGAATGCCTGGAAGCACATCATGAGCTGTAAACAAGCAAAGCCCTTCAGGGACAAGCTTGGGGTAGAAGATTGGAACGGAAAGGAAGAGAATGGCATGGAATAGAATGGCATGGAATACACTTCCCTCTGGAAGGGCCCTACAATGGTCACCTGGTCCAACTGCCCACAATCAGCCTCCTTAAAGAACACCAGAAACAAACCCAAGTACTAAACACAGACCAGTAAGATTAACTTCCCTGTCTGACCCAACTAAGAAAACTTAAATTCAGAGAGTCGATGAAGTACGGCAAGAAAACCTCCATTCCCTACAACCGTACGGACCGAACCCTTCTATGCACCGAACCTGCCACCTGCAGCAGAGCAAGGGTGGCCGCGGCACGGCGGGGGCAGCCCAAAGAGGCAAGACGACTTATCCTGCCGAG